TTTACGCCCATGAGTAAATCACGATGTTGGCGTTGCCGCAAGGGCTAGTCATTTAAGCGCGAATGAGAATCGATGTCACGTGTTATTTATTTATTCGAATCTCAAAATGAAAACTCGAATGCCATCCCTCCAAACGAATATTCGAATATTCTGGTCCAGCCCTAGAGCACACATGATCAAGTGCCCTTGTCATGGAAAGAAAAATATCTCTGATGGCTGCCCTTCCAGTGAAGAACATGAGATACAGTGCCCCACGATGAGATGCAGTTTCCCATACACACAAGAACAGAACTTCACCATACCATTCTACTAGCTGGAGTGCTCCTGTCCATCAAACAGTTTGCCACTGGCAGGAGAAAACCCATACAAATGCAGAGTACAAACACAGAGAGCCAGGGGCAGAAGTTGAACAACAACCCTGGAAATATGAGGCCAAACATTAAGACTGTGATTGTGATCTTAACACTGATCTAACCCTATTGTCTGGGTCATGTATGCCTACCCTCACCTCTCCACTGACCACCAACAAGGTAGATTCAGTCAAGTTTCTGGCAACCATTATTTCTATCTCCCAGAAATGGGAGCACAGCACTGGTTACACCCATTTGTTCCAGGGACTCCACCAGGCTCTACAAACTATACTATGATTCTAATTTTGACAGAATGAATGCTAGCTGCCAAAGGTGACACTTTTTATGGTTTAAGAATGCAGATACATTTGGTAAAGGTTTTTTTAACCTTGGAAGCATTTTGCATGTAGCTCTCTTCTGATATAACCTAGATAGAATGATCTGGAAACGATACTGCAGCCCAAGCTTCAGCTGAATTCTGCGGTGTGCCATCCTCCAGTCACCTCTCCTCTGGGCCTCTTACTGTCTCAACCAATGAGTGAAAATGTCCAGTCTTCCAAATAAAAATGGACTGAAAAAATTATACCACATTCACACATTCTGAGCAATAATGTTTTCTCTTTTTTTAAATAAAAACTAAACTCTGACTGTTCTCTGTCTCACCTAGCTCAAGCTGAAGCCACACTAGACCATCGCTTTGATATGTCTTGTATCTTCTTCAATTTCGTCATGATAGGGATTCATCAAGCCTGGTTTGGAGTATATTACTGTTGTTGTGACCCAATATTGAATAGAAAGATGACAGATGAATGTTTTTTACTAATTTTGTCTATTACCAGCAACTGCCCATTCCCATTTTTACCTTAAAGTGTCTTTTTATGTGTGAAACAAAACATGTATAAATCCAGACACAGAAATTACTGGGACAAAAGCCATATGTTTTCCTGTTGTGAGAAAAAGGTTGATCTCTTTTCATACATGCAAACAAAATCAGTCATTAATTTCTAAATGTTGCAATGTGCTCAACATTATTTTTTACCTGCCTGTATTTTTTTCTTCACAATGAAATATTTTCAGTTTTTTCTTTTCCAGCTTTTTCCATTGTTGTATGGCCATCGTCTGTTACTTTTTTCCATTGATGCAACGACTGACCTGAACAATAAGAAATATCTGAAATTGTATCCCAATCTATGCTCAGTTGAAGCGGAAAAGGCATGAACGTGCTGCTTTTTGTAATAAATCATGTATTTGAGCTGTAATATTCATCAATAATAGTCAGAAAGGCAGATCGGGCCACCTTGCAGCAGAGGGAGGGTAGAGTTACGATGATTCCAATGTCCTAACAGGGACTCTAAAAAATTTGGAACACAATTGGATTGGTCTGGGTTGGGGATCCAATATGACATGTTTCCATGGGGCCTGGAATCTCTAGCGGCAGTCTGCACTCTAGTTACTACTCTAGGTAGTCTGCACCCTAGTTTATCTATTTTGTGTAATGACCAAACATACTAGCACTAGAACTAAAACATTAAAACTCAACTATAGGACAGTGCCCTAAAAAGAAATGATTGAAACACATCACAAGCAATAAATCCAGTTCTTATTCTTCTGTGTAACAATCGCAGTCTTGGTTAATGGCTGGACCAAAGTAACCCAGAACAACAATAATACAAAAAAATTATGCTATGAAACCTAATTTTTGAAAATAAACCACAAAAACAGCATATAGTAAAATAAAGTGAAATTTATCTACAAGAACCTTGTTCTGTTTTTATTTTTTAATGTATTAATAAGTTAATAATAATAAGTTTTATTACCCATATCAGGCATGTGACCTTCCTGATATATACACTAAATAAGTGTAGATTAGGACTTTAGTAATTAAATCATAATTACAAATGTAGTAATAATAATGAGTCATGCTAGATTGATGGCCAATTGGCAGCTATAATATAGGACCGGCCATGTCCGACAGTCAGCACTTTCAAGGCAATTAAGAGTCAAAGAGTCAGTGGCTGAAATGCAAGCGCAAAACCCATCAAGCTATTTTATGCATCAAATGGAACAGTGTGAGAAATCACGATAGCATGTGACAAACATAAACAAACTGCATCAGTAAAGAAAGGCAATGATAGCAAGCTGAAACTAATCAACAGAGGAAAAATATGGCTTCAAAAATCACCACAGAATGAGAGAGAGCAATCTCAACTAAACCTGTGTATTGTTAACTTCACAAAGCTGGAATTTACCAAAGCACTCCAATTCAGTAAATAGTAATATGGATTGATAACTTACAGTATATTTTACCTTTTCCTATAGAGTGGTGGTTCTGAGGCTAGGGATCTGTGCCAGCAACTGGAAGGTTGTTGGTTTGAATCCTGTGAATGTCCAGAGTGATTCTACTCTGTTGGACCCTTGAATAAGGCCCTTAACCTGCAATGACTTTGTCCTGGGTATGACATTAATCTACATCCAGCCCTATAAGGAGGTCCTCCAGCTTACTGGGGAATTTGGGGTTTGGTAGCAGGATTGACACTCCAGCTACCAGAAAAAAACTCACAGTGGTCCATTCAGACTAGTGTGGTGCTGAGGTTTCGTCCGTCACAAAGCTGCACTCAGGTTCTCATCCCTCCTTCTCCTCTACATTTGGAGAAAGTCAAAGGATGCCCACAGTGCCGATTTCTATGGGTGGCCATCATATGGGACTCATTTGGTCTGAAGACATATTCATGGCTATATAATGGTCAAGGAATATGGGGCTTTTTTACAGGACCAAATGCACACTGGTCCCTCATGATGGTGGTTAAATATAAGCCACCAAACCATTTGAAATACTGGGGAGGTCTAATGTTCCACTTCACACAGTTTAGGGCTGTTTGACAGCATTCCCAGAAATACTGACGTTGTTGTGCATGCAGCCAAAGATGACCCTCCCCTTTTTGAGGTTCTCGATATTAAAAAATTATTTTGTCCACCTCTGTTATATGAGTACTGAGTAGGATTATCTACTAACTTGCTGATAAATTTGTTTTTAAAAATCATTGTCCCTATTTTGTTGGAAAATCTTAGTGAAGTATCTGGATTGACCTGTTAATTTTGGACAGTCATATGAAGTACACTCTCTTCAAACATATTCCTTCATGCAGAGTCAGGTGAGGCCATCTGCTACACAGACTTCCAGCGGTTGAGACAGCTGTTAGCGCAGGCATGAGGCCGCTCTGTGGACTGCCGCGTTAAGCCGAGACAAAATGTTTTTTTACATGGAATTCATAGAGAGACTAAACGCTCTTGGACCAAACACTTAGCAGGTGAGGTGAGATACAGCTCATTTGCCAGTGATGATGGCTCGTGCCACGGAACTGTCCTGTTTTGATTATTTATTTGGCGTATGACAGCCATGGCATGTTGGCTCAGTGGGTAGTGGGTAGTGCTGCAGCCTCACCTCTCCAGGGCTGTTGGTTTGCATAATCGCAGCTCACCATGTCTCTGTGCATTTCCTCTAAATAACTCCACTTTCCTGCTGTAGTCCAAAATCCTGTGGTCATGTGAGTTGGTGTTTCTAATTTGCCACCCCTGATTTATGGCCAGTATGGCATGGGATATCACCCCCCCCCCCCAAAAAAAAATATAAAAATAAATAAACAAATAAATAAATAACAAAAATAAGCAGTTGTTCATACAGACATTAAATCATATAGTCACACGTATTAATGAAAACACCAACTTAATATAGTGCAAAATCACTACCTGAAGCAAAGCAACATGAGCAAGGGGAACATGGAAGGAACTCTGAAATCAATGTACAGAAGGCAGAACCACAGTCTGTTATTATTATTCATTACAGGCAATAGACTAAAACTGAACTTTATTCTAGCAGACACAATAAATGGTTTTAGCGATACTGTATTATTTATCAAGTCAAAGCGATTGGCCCATAATAAGCAGACCGAGTCTGAGAATGACACCTCTCAATCAGGTAGCTTCACTTGATTCAAAAGTCACAGGCATCAAAGATGCCTGAGTGATATTTGATCATTCTTGACTGCAAACAAAGTAACAAAAACAGAAATATCATTTGTGAATGCACCCTAGGTCTGAAAAATATATAAAATAGAATTCGATTCGACATCGAGCTGACAGAACCGCTGTCTGTTCCAAACTTAAAACAAATAGTAATAAAAATACACCCTTCCCGATGATATATAGTTGGTAGTTTGTCTAAGGCATCTTAAATCAGTGTTTTATTTTACAAATTGTGACACTAAATCTCTTTCAACTTATTTTTATTACAGGACACGACACCTCTAGGTATATTTAAATTATTCACATTATTGACCTACCTTGCTACTGCCGGTATTCTGGGTTTTATTTAAGCCCTTTTGCTATTAAGCATGTTTATCTGTATTATCTCGAACAGAAGGATTTCAGACTCTCCTCGAAGAAATGTAGACATTTTTTATCAGAATAATCGCGCTTTATTTCTATTACTGATATTTTTATTATTGATTGTGATGTAAAATGAACCACCTTTAAAGCCTTTTCCCGAGTGGTTATGTACGACTGCCAAAACATCAGACGGCCATAACTATCGAGTGAAATGCCTGGGTTTGTTTATTTTATTTCCTAATTTCTGAATAGCAGCGCGCTCAGACTTATGATTATCTTATCCTCCGCCGAAAACTCCCGAATATAGCCTTACAGTTTCCGACGTCAGCCGAGAATAACGGATGCAAAACGCAGACAGGAGACACTGTTTCCAATTCACCATTACAAACAGCCATTTCTTTTTGATGATTTTTCCCCCAGTTTTTCCTTATGTATTAAGAACAACCACGCTGGATTCTAAACTTGTATGCAATATATCTGCACTTATCCCACACCGAGGCGATAATTTTTTATTTTTTTTTGCAAAACACAAAAACCAAGCGCAGGCTATTTAAATATAGGGCGCCTACAGGCACTGTGTACATATCTTCACATAGGATGAGTGTACTGCATGTTCAAGACAAATACAACTGGATACGCTTGAAGATGTAACCACCATTAAAGGGGATGACCGTCTCATGATTTTGAAAACGAATGTCATCGATTTTTATTAATAGGTGAAAAATCTATAACGTTAAAATGAAGAATTCAAGAAAAGCTGCATTCAAAGACTAGAATCAGTTGATGCGTTTTCTGCTGCAGACGGCTATCTTCATCAGTATTTTCGAAATAGGTTACATTTTATAAAGATACATCTAGGTGATATTCGGGATGCCTTTTTGGTTGGAAATGGATAAAGACGGGAAGATGTATTAGCGATATTTAAATCCTGTTTACGGCGTATTTTATTCGCTCTATTCAACTGGCGTCTGATGGGAATCTAATTCAGAACCTGTGCGCTTTATGGAAAATCCGAAGACATGACATGCACACGAAAAAAGAGGAAACGATTCTTTTTGTTTTTTAAAACATGTGTTTATTTAAATGTCCTTTGTTTTAAAAGTCGGCAACTGGTATATTATGAAAAGTCATAACAAAATGACTTCTTTCAGGGTTTGGTCTATTTTGCAGACTTGCTGTCTCTTATTATTTATTTATTTGTTGGCTATTTTTCTATCATTCAGTTTATTGGGACATCATGTTACATCCGATATGATATTTTTGCAATCTGATGTGTAACCCAGGTTCCGGCTTTGAAAGACTATATTTCTTTGCTTTTATTGTTTTTTCCCCCATGAACTACCGAAAGCCACTTAAACTGGCCTGGAACTGAATTCGCCGCCTTTGTCTCGACGAGAAGCACAAAATCAGGTAAGATATTAATGTAATATTTACTCCCATTCTGTCGCTGCCTCGTTCGGTTCTAAATGCCGTTCGATTGCTGTTTGCTCTAAATACCTATCCGTCATTGTATAGCGTTAAAACGGACTGCAACACATTAGTGCTATGGCAACTGTTACGACACAAAGCGCCTTAGCCGAAAGCTATGCATGTAGGCCTATATTAGCAGCTTTCTGCGCCCAGTACACACAAGCACACATGCAGACACCCATATTCCTGACATTACCAGGTGGTCTGAACCGCATAAGCACATTAGATACCAAGAGGTTCGCCACTATTTTTTATATTTCCTTCTGAGAAAGCCCGCTCTGAGTTATATTACAGTTATGATGTTGTGTAGTAGTGTCGTATTTATTAAATTAAATGGGTTTTAAGGGGCTTAGTCAGTCATGAAATGTTGACGAACGTGCTGTACGTATCTTCAGGTTAAGGTGTTAGACACTGATACATATAGACAGCTCTGGGACTTAAGCTGACATACCTCCTTTAGAAATATTTGCCTTTCTATCGACTTACCGCCCATCCTACCAATATATTAGTTTCCATTCATCCCCTGTCAACCCAGGTATCATTATAGAAAATACTATTGTTCTCCAAGGATGTGTTTATTTGCCTAATTTTTATAACTGCCTTTCAGTGACGGTTTTACAAGAGAGTATTTGTGATTAGGTTAATAAATTCCATTTCATCTGATCCCACACAACTCATGCATTAATACTCAACTGCTGTTGCTATCCAGTACTTAACTATAGGCCAGCCCTCCACCTCCAAACACCCCCATTTCTTTCAACCCCTCCCTTCTCGACCCACAGCCTCACAGGATTCACATGAGAGGTTCAATGTGGAGGAAATTGTGAAAATACAATTCAAAGCTCTTTGTCATCGGTCCTACCTACAGTAATTGTACATTTATCGTATAATAATTATTATTATTATAATAATAGTTCATCCCTCCATCCTTTTTCTGTCTTTGCTTGGTTACAGCGGTCCAGGGGTCTCGGAAGCTAAGGGCACAAGGCAGGGAATAACCTAGGATGGGGCACCAAACCATCGCAGGGCACACTCACACACCATTCACTCACACACCATTCACTCACACACCAGTCACTCACACACCAGTCACTCACACTTTCAGACTTAAGGACAATTTGGTAGCCACAATTCACCCCAGCATGCTTTTCGATTATGGGGGAAAACTGGAGTACCTGGAGGAAACTAAAGTTTATCTTAACCTATTTTCTGTAACTGCCTGCGTTATTCAGGGTCACAGGGGGGTTGGAGTTTATCCCAGAGGCTACAAGTGCAAGACAGGGAACAGCCCAGGATGGGGCACCAACCCATCACAGGGCACACTCATACATGCACACCTACAAGCAATTTGGCAACTCTAATTAACCTCAGCATGTTTTTGGACTTTGAGGAGATACTAGAGAACCCCACAATGACATGGGGAGAACATGCAATCTCCACACACAGAAAACCCTGGTGGAGACTTGAACCCAGATCCTAGAGGTGTGAGGGAACAGTGCTAACCACTGCTCCACCATGCCCTGAGTTTACCAAACTCTCAAAATGATCTCAGTATCTGGTGATAAATGTTGTATTTTATCAACGACTTTCACACAGTGGTAATTTTATTTCTATGGTAGAAATGTCCTTGTTTATCAAGTGCTTAATTTAAACTGTCAAGCGGCCTTTACCCTACTGATTTGTTTTAACAAAATGTAATCCGACTGAGGTCAACACCCACTCTCTCATTCATTTTTAATAAAGGTGCCCTTTGACCTCTCCTTCCCCTAAATGATTTAGCCACTGTATCTTCCCACAGTTTTACTGCACCTCAAATGCTCTTTATCCCCCTGAATTAAAAGTCAACCATATTATATCTGTTATATCAAGGCAAATTAAACTACTCATGTTATATTCATTTGTCCATATATGTGTTAGTGTGTGATGAACTGCAGTGTACACTGCGAATTCAGTGTAAGCATCCAAAGCACTGCCTGTGAAGCCACATGCATTCGTAGCACTGCATTTGGATGTTCCGTAGCAGTGCACAATTTAGCTACCACAGATTTGCCTGGTGTGCTGTTTTGTTTCCACTCGGAACTCTTTTTTTGGATAATGAGATACTAGGTAAAATGTCAGATTCTCACCTAATAGCCTCAGAATCGTTTAAATGTTATCATCATTATTGTCTCGTTGGAAAAAAGTGGCCTCTCACTTCTGGAGCTGGGGTTTGAACCTCTGCCCTGACCTTACGTGTGTGGAGTTTGTGTGTTCTCCCTGTGTCATGTTGGGGTTCCCTCCAGGTCACATGGTTCCCCCCTGCCTCTACCTACAGTCTTAGTCCCTATCTTGCACCCATAGCCTTTAGCATTGGCCCCAGACCCCCAGAACCCTGCATAGGACAAGGAAGTATGGAAATGGAAAGGAAAAGTATATCCCAGTCACATTTTTCTTAGACCGGCTGCATTTTAGTTGTTTCTTGCAGGTTAATAGATGGTGATTTCACTTAGGTAGGTCCAGCCCATCCTTTCTAAAATTAGCTTTTTTTCTATTTGATTTTAAGAATGATTTACATGTGGATAAATGGTGGAGTATTTGTTTTTCTGTAGTTTTTTATGTCTGCAAAGTTCTGCTTATTTAGCATTGATAGTGAGTTTCTGCATGGAAACACTGAAAACATAGATACTTCTCAAGATTTGTGCATAAAATACATTTTAGCTTTTCAGTTTCGGGCTATATCCCGGCCGACCCCTGTTAGAAGTGAATAATTTTATGATTCATTTTAAATATAAAAAAACAAATTATGGTCTCCTCCATGAAGGGGTGGTGTCAGATGTTCATTCAACCAAAAGTTAAGATGTTTACACTACAATTGTTACAGAGAGTTTGCTAATTTGGAATATTATATATTCATCTGTATATATATGTATTTTAGTAGTTACATTTTTCACCCAGAACTTTTCATAAAAAGAACTGTCAGAAACAAAATATTATGTAGTCATATGTCTGCAAAAAAGTAGTAATTTGAACCGATTATTAACAGGTGAGAGTGGCAGTCTTTAATGTTTACTGTACCATTCTGGCCAACTATACCCATATGACTAAAGTAGGTTATTTTACAATTTAATCATGCTATGCTCTGTTCAAAGTAGTTTTACGAATACCCAAGGCAAACTGGCTATTCTTAAGTCCAAAACCAACCTTCCACTTGTATAACCTGACTTCTGTGTCATCACTGGAAACTTTACATAGTACAAGCAATAGTGGAATGGTAAAAGTAACGTAGGGTGCTTCAGTTTGTCTTTAAAAGTTTTTTTATTGTACAAGAGGAAAGTACTGTGTGTACCTGGGTTTTCCATGCAGCCAGTGAAACATAAGAACATAAGAACTATACAAACGAGAGAAGGCCATTCGGCCCATCGAGCTCGCTTGGGGAGAACTTAACTAATAGCTCAGAGTTGTTAAAATCTTATCTAGCTCTGATTTAAAGGAACCCAAGGATTCAGCTTGCACTACGTGTGGAAAAGAGTCTTAAATATTTACAGTAAGTTCCATCCAGTCCGGATTGTTTATAAATGTTCCCCTTCTTATTTGTTAATTGAACTTCAC